AATACTCTTTTTATTATTTTTATATGCATAAATAATTATTAATTTCATCGATGCAAATTTGATGATTGCTTCACAAACTCTTTGGTATTTTTGTTTACTCTATTTTTGCTTTTCAAAACCTTTGCAAATATTTTATTTACTTACAAGTTAAAATTTTTTGCGAGCTTAACTTTCAAACAGTACTATACATTTTATTTGAAAGGAAAAAAAGTTAAACTGTAATTTTAAATCGATCTGTTTTGCATTTTTCATTTCAATTATAAATCAAATTAAAGCAAATTTTTAAAATTAGTAAGATTTATATTTTTAAATATGTTTTTTAACCGATTAATACATAAATTATAGTGTTTATTTCAGGTATTATCGTTTTCCTTGCATCGTTAATATTAGCAATGAGATTTACAATTCATTAAGTTGATGCTTTTTTATTAAAAAAAAACAACAGCAAAGAACTGAAAATGGTTATGCAGTATTCTTGAATAAACTCATTACGATAGATCTTTACAAGTATCATGATAATACCTTGAAACAATAGTAAATTAACCGAATAGCAATAATTTTGGGCAGATTGAAATTGAAGTTATAGTCAAAATTATCTCTCTGCACTTTTAAATTGCCTCTGAATAGTGCAAAATGTTTTATTTTTGAATTTTTATATTGTTAGCTTAGTTAAAATTTAATTTTTACTGTCAATGTACCTAATATATGGATAAAAAATTTTTGTAATCGAATTTTTTGCTTTCAAAAATAGTATAAATTTATTTGATGACATGAATAATAGTGAATTTCACGTTGAATTACGTCACGTTACTAAGAATTTTCTAATTAGCAATGAACTAAATTTCTTTTTTTACCAATACTTAATAAATATTTCTAAATTTTCTTTTTTTGTATGTCAATTAATTAATTTTGAAAACTTTTTTCATCTAGAAATTACCGTAAAAATGTGAAAATTTTTAATATTATCTACAATTTATATCTATGATAGTGAAGAATCATGCATGCATTTACTGTGTATTATTATAAATATGTTTTATATTATTTTTGATGAAAAATGGGACAACTAAGAGTAGAGTACTGTACATTTAATATGAAAATATTTCTAAGATAGGACGGCCTCTTAAAATATTTCCTTGTTTGGCATGTACAGAGAAAGAGTTTAAAATAAATTTTAAGAGAAAAAAAGCGAAATATTTTGTTTTAAAAATTGTTGCCAGCAATAAAAATGACACCAAAAAAAGATATTGGAAACACTTTAGAATGAATAAGGCAAATAAATAAAGTTTTTTTTCTTAAATTGTTATCATACGGAACAATTTTTGCCTACTAACCAAATTATTTTTGTTAATTTCTAATTTCATTGTTTTTTAATTTTTAAAAATTAAAAATTTCTACCATATCTAAATAATATTACAAAAGCAGGTAATAAATTTGAAAAATTAAATAAATTTTGATTTGAAAATTAGTAAATTTGAAAATTAATAAATTTGAAAATTAATAACTTTTGATGCAATAAGCAGGTAATAAAGTTGAAAAATTTAATTCACTACAATTGAATTCAAATTTTGATGTAAAAAATGATTTATTTCTTATTTAAAATCATTTTGATTTTTTGTTTATATTCTAATCAATCAAAATACATTTTAAAGCGTTTTTACCAAAGTTTTTTGAGCAAATCTCATGGCACTGTTTATATGAAAATATTCAAACAATTAAAACAAAATGTCTTATTACATCAGTGTTAGTTTTAACAAAATTCAAACTTAGAAGTGGTTAAAAAGTGTGTACACACACACACACACACACACACACAGAAGTTGTGCACTTATCGAAAAATGATGCATACAAGTAATTCAATTCATTCGCAAAGTTAATTAGCAAATAAAATTAAACAAATTTTTAAAAATATTCTCACGCTTTTCGAACAAAATTTTCACTTTACAATGACTGAAGCGTAGTTTAGACAACAATTTTAGTGTTGAATTTTTTTTTCGTATTCACTGCTGAAGAATGAAATTTCAAAAAACAAAATTCATGATTGTTAGTGAGTAATTTATTTTCAGAAGTGCAATCATTGTCCTTGAATTTCTATTTTGTCGATAATCGTTCCAGTAGGCAATTTCAGAACTGTAAGAATTAATTATTCACAAAATATTTCAAAATTTGAATGATTAAAATGAATGTTAAACATTTGAATAAATATAAATTAAAATTCAAAATGAAAATTTAGCATATTCATTATCATAAATTGTTCAAAATATTCTCATTTAATGGCAAAATTTTGTCATTTAAAAATTGCTATGCAAAATTTGCTATTTTATTTATTGGTCTTTTTAAATTTAGCTTTTGTTTTTAAATTCTTAATTACTATCATTATATGAAATGTATATATATATATATATATATATATATAT